GCACAGAGCTAGCCATGTACAAAGGGCATGTTACTTCCCTCCTCCCTTCTGAGCTTTATGTAAATAGGATTTCACTGAGTTGCAGACTGCCTAGGACATCCACATTTTGGTTCCACAGTGAGTAACTATGTGATCTCAGAAAAATTGCTTAACCTCTCTGAGCCTCAGTTTGCTTAGCCCTGAAATTTGTTTTTGCAAGGCTTCATTGAGCTCATAGATATGAAGCACAGGGCCTGCTTTTATTGTTTATATGATTGTGTTTTCCAAACCCAGGTCACCTGGAGCACATTGTCTGGTTGTCTCCAGATGTCCTGGAGAATGTGCCTGCCCGAGGGGGGGCCTAGCTGGTTTCCTGGCGTTAGGTCATTTTAACCTTTTGAATGATTGTGGTGATGGTGCAGCAGCAGCCTAGATGGTTGCTAGGACAGCCATAGGCCAGAGTTGTGTTGTTTTGGTTTCTTAAGTCACAAAATTACAAATGGTTTGAAGGGTCCTAGAACATCAGATAGATCCTCTTCCCATGTGGGGCCTGAGTTGTGCCTCTTCTGTTGGAAAATAATGTAATTGCATGAAGAGTAATAATTAGCATGCCATCTGCATACTTTTTTCTATATAAGAGCTTTGACAATGTCTTTCAGTCCTATGCATGGTGCAAACGGGAAACTGGCAGCCATCTGGATTTACGTTAATTCCCTAAATTGTTTATTCATCTCTGTTTAAATGACCACTTCCCATCCTTATCTAGGCTTTGGTAGCATTACCTATGGCATTTTGGAAACAGCATTCGTGGTAAGTAAGAAGCTATGGAGGGAAAATTGACTTGTAGCCACAGTTTTCTGGCTTCATGGTGAAATCAATGCAAGGCATTCTACAGGCCCTTAATTAACTGCTTGCTTGCTAATGAGGGCTTCTTCTTTTCCTTAAAAGTTCCTATATTTTAAATCAACGAAGTCACCAGGAAATTGCAATCAATATTTTAACAATTTCCCATTTGTTTCTATTGTGTTTCTTGAACATCCCGAAGAATATTAAAATTGTTTAAGAACACTGCAAGAATGAATAAGTCAACTGGTTTCCCAGTGGCTCTCCTCTGCCTTACCGGGGAAAAAATTCCAATGTGTCCTCTGTGAGTGCCCCAATCTGGATCCTCACCTGGCACAGACTCATCCTTTTTTGCCAGACATATCAAGTGCTTACGGAGTGTACAATAGCACAAGATGTTTGAACGTACTTGCAAGACCTGAGCTTTTGTCCGAATACTTTTCCTTTGTGCCTCTTGTCTTTTAGGGTATGTAGGATAAGAATCACAACAGCATCCTCTTCTCTGCGGGCTAATGACTGATGCCGTAGGCACCTTGACAAGGGTGTTCCTGTCTATGAGAGAACCAAAACCCTGACTACATACCAATAAGGCCGGTACTACTATGACTCCATTTTGGAAATGAGACCTGTAAGGCTCCAGAGGTTGTACAGCTGGGAACCAGCAAAACCTGGGTGTACACCAGTGCCTTCTGCCTTCCAGATCAAGTTCCCTGTACTTCTTCTGCATGGGATAGTCGCCACCCTGGGCCTCCCCAAGGGCACTTGTCCATCCTTATTCCTGTGTTTCTGTTGGTTGTGGCCTCTAGCATGCTGTTGTCAAAGAACTCAGGTTCCCTAGGGTTAGGACTCTATGCAGATGAGGAGCCCACAAGCCCTAAGCCAATGCCCCGGGAGCCTGGAGCTCAAGAACCTGGGGTGTGGGGGTCTCTGGCTTTGCTGAGGGCATCTGTCTGGCTGAGTGAGGCATGGCTGCAGGGGTCTGGGAGCCGAGGGAGCAGGTGGACGTGGTAGCCTCCAGCTGGGCATAGCCAATGGCCTCTGAGCACCAGAGGTGAAGTGGGGGGTGCCAGAAGGTGCTGGCCACATCCAGCACCTCACTTCCTCTCTCTGGATCCATATTCTGCCATCTAGAGGTATACCCTGAATACCCCCCTCCCCACACACACTGCAGCTAAGGATTAGCCATGAGTCTATCAGGGAGGCTTTGGGGAAACCCCAAAAGGCACTATTAAACTGTGGAACAAGGCAGAGCTGAGGACAAAGGCATATGGTGTCAGAAAAGGACAGTTTGGGCTGAGGATGGCCAAGGGAGGGAGGGCACCTGTGCTGTGATGGGACTCAGGACGAGCTACACTGTGGAGGAGGCCTTTGAGATGAGCCTTGAAGGGCAGGCAGGACTTTTTTTAAAAAATAGAGATGAGGTCTCACTCTCTTGCCCAGGCTGGACTCCAACTCCTGGGCTCAAACAATTCTCCCTCCTTGGCCTCCCAAAGTGCTGGGATTACAGGTGTGATCCACTGTGTTCAGCCCAGGCAAGATTTTGACAGGAGTGCTGGCGTGGGAAATATATGAGCAAAGGGGCAGAAGGCGGAAGAACCAGGAATTGTTAGGTGTCCAGTAAGCAGTCCAGCCAGGCTGGAGGCCCAGGAGCATGTGTGAAAGCACCAAAAGAATCTAGAAGTAAATAGAGACTTGTGCTCACTATGGAGGGCCTTGCATATCAAGCTGAGATGTTGGGATTTAGTGCTGTCAGCTGTAGGAAGCCTCAGGAGGCTTTTGAGCGTGGGAGTAATGAGAAATAGAGCCACTGGATGTGTGTTTCCTCTTTCCAGTCAGCATGTATGTTCTCCATGGGCCCCTACCTGCCCAGGCCATGCCCAGAATTCCCGAGGCTGCCCTGTTAAGCCCCAGCATTTGTCAGATGAACTTGGAAAAACTTGGCATCTGTTCACAGGAATATGACTATAAATGACAGGTGGGTGGTGATTTTATTTTTCAAATCCACTGAGTTCCAGGTTTGGGTCAGACCAAAGACAGGGCTCATATTAGCCTCAGCATGGTATCTCTGGACTCCAGTAGCTTAAGTCCAGCTTTTTGTTTAGCAACCACTCAGCAAAAGGACCAGGAGTTCCCCTAGGAGAAGGACAGCTCCTTGAGACCCCATGGTATTCTTTTCCATCCACAGGCCAGGATGGCACACACTAAACATGGATAGTCACATAGCAAGTGGAAATGGCCCAAGCTTTGAGGCCCAATTGCTTTACTGCTCTACCACTCTTGGGCTGTGTGCCCCGGGACACATGCCTCCACCTCTCTGAGTGCCTGATTTCCTCATCTGGAATACGGACATGATGATCAACACCTCATTGGGGGCACAGGTTGTGCAGGTGAAGCACAGGCTAGGCCTACGTTAATGGAGGAATATGTGCTCCTGAGCTCCAGACTTGGTCTTGCATTTTGGGTGAGAAAAGGGCCCTGGCTCTCAGAGCCAGTCTACTCAGTGAGGAGAAAGCCTTCACCCAGCCTCTGTCTCTGGCCTCCTCTATCCTTTGTCCATCAACCTTGGGATATCCTAGGTGACAACCACAAGGAAACCTCTTTCCACCAGTAACTGAAGGAATCACTGTGTACCTCTGTGGCCACCTGTAAGACTGCCACCAATCATGTGGGCTACAGTGCCCCTTGGTGACATGACCCGAGGCTAGTTTTGTGTTGCTAACACAAAGCTCTTCGCCTGCCCTCCAGCCTTCTTAACCTTTGTTTAAGTCATGAACTACCTTCAAATGTAATGGCATCCATGGGCCCCTTTCCCAGTGGGTGTGTATAATCCAGTGGCCCCCAGAGTTTCCTGAAAAGTTCCAGGAAAGCAGAATCTACTAACATTCACTGAATAGATACTCCATGCCAGGCATCGTGCTGGGAGCTGGGAAGACAGCAGTGAACAAAACAGACGCTGACCGCTGCCCTCTTGGGATCTAACCTATAGAGGAGGTTAGGTAGTGGTAAGCGCTAAAGAGAAAACAAAGCTGGGAAGGGGAGAGGAAGTGCCAGAGATGGGCGTGGGGCTTTGAAAAGTTACATAGGGTGGCCAGGTGACATTTGTGTCAAGACTAAAGGAAATGAGGGAGCCAGCCCATAGATATCTGGGGGAAGTGAATTCCAGCCCAAGGGAACAGCTAAACCAAAGATCTTAAGTAAAGCAGGAATGTATCTATGTGTTGAGGACGAGTTGGGAGGTCTGTGTGGCTGGAGCAGAGTGAGTGGAGGGAAGATGATGTCATCGAGATAGGGGAGGGACGTACCTGAAGGGCCCCAGGGGCCACTAGAAGCACTTCAGTTCTACTTTGAGTGCAACCAGGAGTCACCGTGGGGGTTGGCATAGAGATTGGGAGGAGACTGCAAGGAGAGGGTTGAAGGGAGGGAGGAATGAGGGCAGTCTGTGTGGCAGTTAATGGACTAATTCTGGGGGGAGAGGCTGGTGGCCACCACCCGGGGGGAAAGCAATGGATGAGCAGAAAAGAGTGACATCGTGGATACGTTTTGGTGATGCAGAGGACAGAACTGTCTGCTGGACTGGCTGTGGAGGGTAACCAAGAGACAAGAATCAGGGAGAATTCCAAGGCCTTCAGCCTGGGCAACATGAAGGATGGAGTAGCCATGAACTGAGGTGGCAGACTATGGGCACGACACATTTGGGGGATGATCAGAAACTCGGTTCAGCAGGTTATGTGGAATTTGTGCTTTCTAGTGACCATCCAGGTGGTGGTGGCAAGCAGGCAGTTAGCCATCGCACAGACGTGCAGCTGTGATATTACAGGCTTCTCAGGACACTCTGGGAGAATGGGCATCACTTGCCCAACTGAGGAAGATGAGTACAAGTGCTCCGAGGGTTGAGTGGAGGTGCTGGGAACAGAAATCCACCTTCCATCTCCCTGGCTAGTGCACTTTTAGGTTGCAGAGAGAATTTTAAAAGCATCCTGCCAATGCTCTGTGATAGGCATGGCCGTTCTCCATTCAGCTTTGTTTAATCAGATTTCCTTCAACGGATCCCAACACCCTCGGAGTTCTACCCCGCCACTGGCAGCCCTGAGATGACTCTATCTCTCACAGCAGGGCCTTGAAGGTAAGGTTCAGTCACCAGAGAGCAATAACCTCTTCTGGTTGCTTGCCCTTTCCAGAACAGACAGGACTGGACCCAGACAAGGTGGATTCCTTCACAAACGCCTTGCCGAACTGTGTACCCCCAGCCTCGCCCCATTGGGCCGGGCACCCCCGGCAGTGCTGAATCTCTCGCGATTGGGCCTGGACACTGCTCTTCCTCCAGGTAACTTCGTGAAACGCTAGGAGGCAATCGCCCAGCCTCATTACGCCTACGTAGCCCACGAAGGGATCTCGTTGAGTTCTCGGAGGGGGCCCCAGCGCTTTCCGAGGGCCGAAAGCGTGGGCGTGGAGGGAAGGAGGGGCCGAGTGGGCGGCGGGCCCATCCCTTTATTCGTGGCCTGCGGCTCTGCTGAGCGTGACCAGATGTGTTGGTGACAGGTTGCTACTCAGAGGTGCGGACAGGAGCTGAGGGCTGCTGCTGTCGGAGCAGACGCGGCATTCCCAGGCTGTGCTCAGCCTCTGCAGCTGCCATCGCCTGGAGAAGTCCAGGTTAGGAAGCGCACTCTGGGAGGGGACCCTGGAGAAGGGGTGCAGCCAAGTACCGGGAGGTGGGGGAGGTGGGAGACGTGGGAGCGGGGGGAGACGTGGGAGCGGGAGTCGCTGGACTCGGCGCCAGGGCAGAGGGTGGACAGGGCGCGCTGGCCCGCCCGGCAGTTCCCAAGGAAGCTATGTTCCTGCAGAAGCCGCAGGTGTCCGTCTTGGGATAGATAGCTGCAGAGGGAGCCAGTCCAGTCCAGCATGGGCGGGAGCATAGCGTGCCCTGGCCCAGTGGAACTGGAGACTGGCCAGGGAGCCTGGACTCTGGGCTAAGCGCACTGGCGGGCGACGCCGCCGACCGCGTCCGCGCCGAGGGTGGGGAACTGGGAAGTGGGGAGTGGGGCACTCGGCCAGGATGGTGGTGGGTGCAGTTCACTAACTGCCACCTGAGAGCCCTGGTCCCCAGTACCGCCACAGCGGGTCTGTTTGGCCATTAGGGCGCTAGCTGGTGAGCGGATGCGTGGGCGGAGGGATTGGCGCTACCCACCCAGCAGCCACCCACTGCAGGTGAGTGCCCCTTCCCGGGCGAAGGGAGGAGAAGAGCCTGGCCGCTAGCCCTAGGGTCACGCTCTGGTGAAACCTGGAAGCGGGAGGGGGCTGAATAGGCTACTTTGCGGTGAGGTTCCTGTGACCGTGACACTTCAGGGTCCTCTGGGGATCTGTCATTCCTCTTGCACGCTCTCTTGTTCTCTGGTCCCCCTCCTCTCCCCTCCCCTCCCCTCCCCTCCTCTTCTCTCCCCTCCCCTCCTCTTCTCTCCCCTCCCCTCCTCTTCTCTCCCCTCACCTCCTCTTCTTTCCTCTTCTCTCCCCTCCCCTCCTCTCCTCTCCTCTCCCCTCCTCTTCCCTCCTCTCCCTTCCCCTCCTCTCCTCTCCTCTCCCTTCCCCTCCTCTCCTCTCCTCTCCTCTCCCTCCATCGTGTCTCTACCTCTCTATCTCCGCCGGTGCCTCTCTCGGTATCTGTCTCTCAGTCCCTGCCTTCTCTGTGTCTCCTACAGTCTCCTGTCTCTCTTGGTCTCCCGGTCCTGAGCGCTCTCTCGCCCTGTTACTGGTGAGCGCTGGCTTTCAGCTCTCCGTGCCAGCTCTTCATGTGTCCCGGCCACTGACGTCTCACCAGCTCGCTCTCCCCAGACGCGGAAAGTCCACCTTCGGCGTGTGGGTTTCCCAAGCGCGCTGGGCCCCGCTTGCGGCCCTCGGGGGCGGGCTCTGTCTGTTGGAGGCGCTCCGGTAACCTTGCTGTCGCCTCTTCCCACCAGTGCACCGCCTGGCCGAGCCACCTGACGCCGAGGGAAACGACCAGCCTCTCCTGACTGCGAAGCAACAAAGGTGAGTGCACCGGTGCCCCTTTCGCCCCTCCGATCCCTCCCCAGCTGCCCTGGTTCGAGTCGACTGGAGAAATGAAGCAGCCACAGGGAAGCCAGCCTGCGGCCGCTTTCTCCTCTAAAGACAGGTAGGAGGGCCTGGGAGGCCCCTTGGGCTGCCGCACTGCTTTGGCTGCACCCGGCCCCATCCCGGCGTGGAAACCCAGAGTTTCCAGGCTTGAGGGTGGCGGGGTCGCGGGTAGGGCAGCGCGGCTTCCCCTTTAAGGCCGGAGCCGCTCGTCGCCGTGAGTGTGAGGGTGTGTGAGTGTGCGGCGTGCGTGTCTCCTCCTCCCCGAGTGACACAGCAGTGAGAAATGCCTATCAGTAACTTAAACCCCCGAAACTCCACCTTCCGGGCGCGCGGCGCGGAGCCGGGCGGTGGGAATGGAGCGAGCAGATTGAGGCCGCCACTGCAGCGCCGCCAGCATGAACTTGGCCGCGAGCTGAAGCGGCCGGCGGCGGGCGGGCGCGGGGGCACCGGCCGCTAGCCAGGGGGTGATCTGCAACCGGGCTGGGTTATTAGGCGGCCGCCTGAGGCTAGGCTGTCTGCGCCGGCGGCCGCCCGCCCCTCGGACACTGCCCCCGCCGCCGCCGGAGCTCTGCAGCACGGTAAGGCTGAGGGCGGGCGCAGGAGGTCCGACTGTTCTGGGGGGTCGGGGGTACACTTCTGGCCCCCAGTTATGGTCCCCATCGCTGAGGATCGGGGTCCCGAGATGCTTCGAGCCGGTAGACCCTAAAGTTTGCTCTGACCACACGGCCCACCTGGCGCTGCGGGCGGCCGCCCCCTTCTAGAACGGCCGGGCAGTGCTGGGCGCCCCTCGAAACGCCGGAGACCACGGCCTTTGGCTCAGCGCCCATCTGGCGTCTGAAATCGGGAGAGGGCAGCCACGTACCGGGGAAGAAAGGTAGAAGGGCGCAAGCTGCGCGGGTTCATTGGGCTACGCGGGGCTACCGGGAGGCTACCACTATGTCCCAGCACCCCCGAGCCGCTTGCAGCCTGGGTGTCACCGGCGACGGTGCCTTCACATGCCAGCTCCCACAGCCCAGGCCAGTAGGCAGTGGCCGCTGGGTGAAGGATTCCCCCACCCCAGCGCTGTTTGCCGCCTCGGAGAGAGAGTGTGGAGTGTGCGCGCCGAACCCGCTGCCCTGCACTCCTTCTCCTGCCAACTCCTGGGGAGGGCAGCTCGGAGCTGAGCTGGTGCTCTCGAAACAGCCCCAACTGGGTTCCTGCGGAGCAGCGCCGGCACCCCTGCGTCAGAGTCCGCGCTCCACGTTCCCCAGCGTCCGAGAGAAGACAGAGCTGGGCGCCGGGCGCCGGCTAGCGCGGGCGGGAAGCCCCCCGGAGCGCCGCCAAATACTTTTCTCAGACACTTGGCTTGGCCAGGCTCCGTCCCAATGCAGTGTGTCCGAAGCCTCCTGGAAAGCTGGAGATGTCGTCTGATTGTGATCCGTTATTAAATTCGGACTGAGCAGACATTAATAGGATTAGTGGGCCAGAAAGCTCGGCCCTGAAGCCATCGGAACCTGGGCAAACACGCGCCTCGGGCTGGGGCATTCATTCCCGCCGCGCTCCTGCAGCTGGGTGCGGCCGACCCGGGCACCCCGAGTGTGGGTGTGTGTGAGCAGGCGGGAGCACAAGGTGGCTGGGGGACGTGGGGAAAAGGGACTCCCTTTGCTGGGGTGGCTTGTCGTGGTTGTTTGGCAGCACGGTGCCCCCCGGGGGCGCAGTCCCCACGGCGAACGTGCTGTTCACGGGTAAGCAAACCGAGGCTCCGGGACATTGTCTGCGAGGGCCAGCGAGCCAAGCTTACTAGAGGCGGATGCGCTGGAACAAAGGCGCAAAGTCTCCCTGAAGCCGACCAATTTTGAAAGAGTTGGCTGAGAAGAGGGCCTGGGTCTCCCCGGGTAGATCCCGGAGGGAACTGTGCGGCCCTCAGCGGCCCTGGCCGGCGGCTGGGGAATGTGTTCCCCGGTTGCGGTGAGCTGGCGGGCGGCACCGCAGCCGCGCGGCCCAGCTCTTGGCAGGCGTGGGTTACCGCCCGAGTGCCCACCGGCCGGGCGGGGTCGACCGTGCAGTCGCTGGGGCTTCCCGGCCGCCACCGCAGCTCTGGGCCCCTGGAGGCCGCGCAGCTTCTTTACTTCCCTCCCTCCCACCTCTTCTTGTCTTTATAGATCCCCCCTCCCTCCCACCACCGCCGCCGCCGCCGCCGCCAACAATCCGCTTTATAAAAAGCCCCTTTGTTTCCCAGGAGGCTGGAGAGAGGGAAGGGGAAAGGGACGCAGAGGCAAGGGGCGGGGGCGGCTGTCTCCAAGTGGCTTCGAGCCGCTCGGGACAGGAGGGCAAGTGTAGGCGATGGGGGAGGGGCTGTGTTTCAGGGACCCTCTGTGGGAACCCAGGAGGGCGCACGAAGCCCCAACCCCCGGGCCCAACCGGTCAGCCCTGGACACCCTAAACCCCGGCGGCCCGGACGGCCCAGTCCACTGCACTGCGAGCGGGCGGGCACGCGCAGAGGCCCTAGGCGGCAAGCGCTCGGCGAGGTGGGGTGACGCGACTCGCCGTTGCGCTCGCCGGGCTCCGGCATAGGGGGCGCCCTTTCCTTGGTTTCGCTTTGCAGCGGGCGCCCCTCGCCGCGGGAGATCAGGGCAGCTGTCGCGCCCGCCGGTGGCTGAGACGGCGGCAGCGGCTCGGAGGCTTCAGCCACCCGAGTCTGGCTACACAACGCATTTCTTCCCGCGCCCTCCCGCCACACCCTCCGCCCCGCCACACTCAAGGGCTCAAACTCTCCGAGCACCCTTTGTTTGGAGGCACGCGGGCAGTGGGAGCCGCCACCTCCGGGGATCCTGTAGCCTGGGCGGGCAGTGAGGATGAGCGTGCCCCTCTGGACCGCACGCTGGCCTGCTGCTTCTGCACCTAACTCAGGGTCTGGCACTAAGCCGCCAGCTTTAGTTAGATTGACGATTTAGCGGGTCCTTATCCCTTCTACCTGCCCCCCTAAAACTTTCGAGAACCAGGGATTGGGCTGAGGAATGTCAAATACAATGTTAGAAGTAACCTTTCGCCATTCTATCGGCCTGCTCCGCCCCTGTGCCCCAAAGCGCTCGGTTTCTCTTTTGGAGTTTTTTGGGGAAGGGAATACTGAAAAGAAAAAAGTGACAAATAAGGAAAGTGGGCGGGGCTCAAGCTCAGGCTGGTGGGTCTCCCAAGCGAAGTCAGATTCCACCCCCTTTCTGGCCGCCTCCACCTCTCCCACTTCCATTTAATCTGATGTCGACGTTTTATTTGTGCCTTTTTACATATCTTTCCCCTACTCCCCTCCCTTCCCATCTCTAGAGTTTATTAATAAGTGCTGGTCAAACATTTGTTCTCCGGTCTTTGGAGTAGATGAAGCGTTAACACCCCCAACGTGTGTACACACATCCCAACTGCATCTAAAGCCACAAGAAAGTAATCAAAGGGTAAACTACTGGTTCTGCCTTCTCCTCCCCCCTTTGTGCTTCTCTTTGGAGCAAGATCATTGGAAAATAAAGCTGCTGATGTGCGAGATGGAACATATGGTGCCTCCATAAGAGAGAAGCTGAAATGGCCTTGAACCTGCCGGACAGACCAGCTGTTTGCTGCCAGCCAGAGCAGCTAATCAGCTTCTTCCCCTTAAAGTAACATCCTTCTTTTCACTTGATGACCAGTTTGCATGTTAAATAGGATATTCTCCAGAGGGGAAAAGTGATGGGTTACCATACTGCTTTGTGCTTGGTGGTCCTCCAATGCCTGCTTCCTGCTCTGGGAGCTACCCTGCCCTCTCCCAGTGCCTGCCTGCGATGTGTGAGTGTTTCTTTCAGTACCGAAGTAAGAGTGTTGCTCAAAGTGGAACTTGGGACAGAAAAGGCAGGAAAAAAGAAAAAGATAGGGCTGAGACATTTCCAGATGTCTGGAAGGAAACCTCTCTGTTTTGTTCAGCTTCGGAAAAAAGTAGCACTCTTTCCCCTCTTTCCCCCTTTAAAAGCATCACAAAGAGCTGAAGCTTTTCCATACAAGATCTCCTTAAAAATCATCCTCTTCCGGCCTTGACCATTTTCAGTTTTCCTTCAGTACAACGTGTTGGGGGTGGGGGTGGGGAACAGTTTGGTGTTGGAAAAAGAAAGCCTTTAGGAGATACAAGGAAATTCCATGTTAGGAAATCATTAGCAAAGGGTGATTTCGTCTGTTTTCCTGCCACTGACGCTGAAAGTGACACAGATGTGTGGGTTGAAATAGGAACGTCATTGAATTTTTACACTCCACCAGGAAATACCCTGTTGCTGGTGTGGGGCAGGGGCTACATTCACTGCATCCTAAGGTAGGAGATTCACTATTGTCAATCCTTTTTACTAAGGAAAGGAATTTTTTTAGCTTAGCCAGCATGCTTAGTGTCTTTTCTTTCCTTTTAAATTGCTCATCTAAAGGCATAAAATGCACCTGTTAATGGATGATCCCTAAGAAACTCAATTACTATTTGGGGTTATGAAAGGGAATAAACTGCTCTTAGACAAGCGGTTCTTCTGAAAATAGCTGGACTATGCCTCTTCTTTAAAGTAGCCTCAATGTGAAGTAACTCCCCTTTTTCAAGATTCTGATTTTTTTTCTACAACAGTGCATTGCACAGATCATTAGCCTAGGAGCTGGGAAACTTGTGTTCTAGAAAGCTCTGCCCACTAATTAGCAGAATGATCTTGGACAAGTCCATCCTTTCTCTCCTCCAACCCCATGACCTCTGAGTCTGTGTCTTTTCCAGTTTTAAAACACTGTGGTTTGTGAATGAAATAGTCATTTTCTGAGAAAGTGAAACATCAAGTTCAACCTTGTCATAGGGAACCAACTAGACAGATAATAAAATGGGGCTGATATTTGGAAGTGCAGGGATAAGAAGGAGGAATAAAAAAAAAAACTGCAGAAGGCCGATCAAAACAATACAAAAGTGGAAAGTGTTC